TTATGATTCGTTTGGTATCACTATGGGGTTTTTTTTGGGGGGGGTATTTGTTTATCAAAATCATAAGATATATATATCATATAATGAATTAAAAATTGGTCAACCTTATTAAAATTATGATAATTTTGAAAATTGACAATTAAAAAGTGAAAACACCATTTTTCTTGTTTCTTGTTTTAGGTTTACTGTTTTCAAAAACTCAGTTTACAAAAATGATGCCAAATAAGCCTTTAGTTGTTTGTTTTTCATTAGGGTCTGTGTGTTAGGGTTTATAAAAAAAAGTATGCATCTTTTGTCATACTATCAATTTTGTGGTAAAAAATTGTTCGAAATTGCAACAGTTGTCGAATTCTCAAATACGTTCAAGCGAATCATATAATAATCATCCATACGGTTACAACGTACAAATTGTTAGATGATCGTCTCTCCAAAAAGGGTAGGCTACATACGTATTTCAGTGACGTGTGTGACAACTTAGCTAGTTTGGTATGATTTAGATAGTGTTGAACCTTGTTTTCATGATAACTTGACATCAAGTTCATTAATTACTCTAATTTTATGCAATTTTTGTGTCCCCCATGCTTCACGAGTTTTGTTCGTGATTTGATGCATTTTAGCACCTTTTTGGCACCCATGAAATCTATGTATTGACTTAGGATGTAAGGACAAGGAAAGAGGCGAGCACATTTTGGTAAAGCTAAAAAAAAGTGCACAAAAGTAAGGGATTGGGGTTTTAGAGTGATGTGGTGAAAAGTTGGTAAAAAAATCTACAATTATATAATTTTTTGGTGTTTAAAGAACCACAATGGCGAGTGATGAAAATAGATCCCAAGATTACCTAAAACAGGGAGAGAAGCTTTGATCACTTGAGTTATCCCTCTCTCTCACAATTATATAATAAATGTATATAATTTGATTTTTTATTTTTTAGTTATTGAAATTAAGTCTCTTGTCTTTAAGTCTTTGCAATAAATAGTGGTTGGGTCAATTGAATAAATAAATACATAAATAGTGTATCTCAGATAATACACAACTTTTTTAAAAGATATAATACACAAGTATTTAATTATTAAATTAAGTCCCCATCTTTAATCTATTAAGATTTTATTACAACTTATTATACAACATAACATCTCTTCATATTAAGGTGGCCCTTTAAAAAGATCATGATACCTCTCATGAATCATGATCTTATATTATTGTTGAAAAAACCCGAAAAATTTATCCAACAAAAAATGTAGGTTGTGAAATTATTGGCTTTTTGAATAAGGAACAAAATTTATAGTGTAAATTAATTAAACTAACATCTTGAATTTTGATATTGATTCTGATAAATAACCAAACAACGTTTTATCATGGAAGAAAAAACTTGCATAGATTAGTATGCATCATACTTTTCAATCATACTTATGTAGGTTCAAAAGTCAAAATACTACATTAAAAAAAAATTGTATTTTAGAAAAGAATAAATAATTAATATGGTGCTAATTAAGAGTATCTCTAATGGTGAGCTAATTATTAAATTAATAAATTACCTTACAATGTTAGTATGCCAGTATGCCACATACGAAGTATGATTTCAAGTTCATCCTCTTTGTAGCTATTTTGTGCCCCAATGATTAGTTGCTACCTTGCTATTTATATAAGCTTGACTTTCTCAATTAACTTTATTAATTTATTTATATTTTAATATGTTAATTTCCAAAATTTTGAAACTTATTCCTCAAGCTAATTAGCTAGTCCAAGGCTCTAAGCTAATTGTATTTTTTTAGTTCCAATGGTCAATCTAGTAGCTAGAGATTTTTTTAAATTGTAAGCAAGTCACTAGCTACAAAGCCTACAACCATTATATATTGGAGGCTTTTTTAAAGCACGTTCATTTATTCAAATAAATGTCATTGATCCTTACGTTGTTACCATAAATTCATTGAAATAAATCACACATTTACATTACTCTAGTCTTTTTAATCATTTGTAGAATTTTTTATAGGAAAAATTGTCAGGAACTACATGCTAAATAGGGGTATTTGGAAACAACTACCCACTAAAAAAATTTATCAAAAAAACTACCCTAAATTGAAAAAGTTAGAGTTGCACTACCCATTTGCATTTTTCGACGAGAAAGTCCGGCATATGGGGCCCACTTTTTAAATTTTTCTTCTGAAAATTCCTAATTGAAGAAGTGAAAACAAGTAGGGTATGCAATTCATAAGTAATTCTTCTCTTTTAATTCATTAATTATGAATTTTGATGTTAGGGTGTAACGATTAGAAAAATTAGGGTTCTTATAAATTGGGGATAATTTAAAATTGGTTGAATTTATTGCTTTTAATTCAAATTGCTTATCTTATGATTACGAATTAAGGTCTAATTTGTCATTGCATCATGTCTTTTCAGAGAAAAATTGAAAAAGTGGGCCCATGCGCCGGACATTCTCGCCGGAAAATGCAAATGAGTAGTGCTACTCTAACTTTTTAAATTTAGGGGGTAGTTTTTTTGATAAAATTTTTTAGTGGGTAGTTGTTTCCAAATACCCCTATTAAGCGTGTAGTTCCTGACAAACTTTCCTTTTTTATATATCATTTTTACCCTTTCGCTTGAAAATAGAGACCATTGCTAAATAATTATCCATATCAAAATAAGGATACATTGTAGCCTACAATAATTTAAGTTTTTGATTAAGGGGAAGATTTATTCTTACATGTCCGATTGAAATTATTTGGCCTTATTAAATCTGGTTAATGATTTAGTCATATGTAGTCAAAGTTGTGCATCAGAGACCGTGTAATAAATTGCAAATGAGTATAACACACTGAATAAAATTAAATAGTTAATATAAGATTTTTATATGATATAAATAAGTGTAAGATGATGAAGACCGGTTTATATACTCTTTCATATTACAATAATCATTTTTTACTTATGGGTATTCTTCCCCCCCCCCCCCCCCGGTTTGACTGTACTCCATGTTGTATTCTTCAAAAGACATATGACACATATCATATAGGTTTTTCTATATATTTTTAAAATTCTCATATTGTAATATCTCTCTTATCATTTTTGTGGTTAGTATCCCTAGTAGATAGGGTTGGATTTAATTAGGTAGGGTGTTTTAATAAGAATTTTAAACTAGGTTAATTATTCTAAGTATTAGAGCAATTTATAGCTAAATGCTTGGTCTTACTAGATTTCTTTAAGAATTGACAATTTAAACGTGCTAGTGAAGACACAATACTATGGGACAAAAACATGATTTATTACCAAAATTTCAAGAGCACCCACCAAATTATAACATGTATGTACTCCTATTGTTTTTATTTCAATCGCAATACTTTGACTGACACGGGATTCTATGTGGTTGATCCTATCTGTTAAAACATTAATGCGTCTAAGGTTTATTGGAGGATTTAAAAATAATTAAAAAAATAAAAGTGGGTGAATGTTGTTAAATCAAAGGCAAATTATGAAAACAATTCCCTGTATCTTCTTCTCATTAATCACAAAGGCCACAATACATGTATATATAATGCTAAGATAACAATACCCTAAAATATTCTATCATATCTTTTCACAAGATATATTTCCTAAAATATGCACAATAATATCACGCTAATATCCTAGGTACACTAGAATATCTCAATACCCCCCTCAAGTTGGAGCATACGGATCATATATGCCCAACTTGCGGAGTAAAAATTCAAACTTGACTTTTCCCAAAGCCTTTGTGAAAATGTCAGCCAATTGAAGCGTCATAGGCACATATGACGGAGTAATTAGACCCTCTGTATCTCTGACAAAATGACAATCAGCTTCAATATGTTTCGTTCGCTCATGAAACACCGGATTTTTCGCAATGTACAATGCTGACTGATTATCACAATATAGGTGCATGCCACTGTCATGTCGCACACCTAAATCTCTTAGAAGCCACTTTAGCCACTTGAGCTCACGAGTACAAGCAGACATCGATCTGTACTCTGCCTCAGTAGAGCTCATAGCAATCGTGGGTTGTTTCTTGGTCTTCCATGACACGGGAGATAAACCTAGAAACACAAACCAACCTGTCAACGAACGCCGAGATAATGGACAACTCGCCCAATCCGAATCACACCATCCTTCCAATCGTAGAGCACTATTAGACCTTAGCAGAATACCCTGACCTGGACTCTTCTTCATATATCTCACAACGCGCAAAGCAGCATCCCAATGTTCTACTCCGGGCTCTGCATAAATTGAGATAAAATATGCACAAAATAGGCCAAGTCCGGCCTAGTGACAACTAAATAAATCAAACGTCCTATAAGTCGTCGGTGTATGTTTATGTTAAAGTAAAGGATGTCAGAAGGATTTTTTTTTTTGAAACAATGGTGTGAATTGGGTATAAGTTGGGGATCGAGATTGGAGATAAAAAAAATAGTGAATAATACTATCATTTAAGAAAATGTTACCAAAAAAAAAAAACGATCGATTATAGGAAGTGTAATAATTAAAATAATAGAATGAATGAGAATTTGTCAAGGTCATGTGGTTGTTAATCTAATATGTTCCCTTTCCTTCTTTAATCTTACTAATTACTGCAACGAGAAAATAGAAAGTTAGTGAAAATGGGTCATTTTATTTCTACTTTATAGGAAGAAAAAAATAAAGTTGTGTAGAAACATTATATATGTATTTTAACGGTCAATGAACAAATTAATTTTTGTTTATAATTATTAAATTTAATACTAAGCCATTATTTTAATAATTATTGTATACGGTGGAGAATTTGAGATTTTTTCATAGAAAATTGTCAAAGTAGTACGAGTCTGTTCACATTTATTAAACTGAGCTGAAATGAATTGAATTGACTGAACTGATTGGAGCTGAACTGAACTGAATACACCGTAGAGTTGAAATAAATAGTTTATGAGAGAAGAAAATTAGGATTGAATTGAATTGAAATGAAATTAAACTAAAGTGAACAAACTCGAGGTAGTAATTTTTTTTCACAAAAAAAATAAAAATAAAACGATAGTACAAAAGAGTATTTCCCTATTTTTTCACAAAGAGTTCCATGATTTGAGCCAATGTTTGCCAAAAACTCGAAATCAAGCCTCTTTCTCAATGTCGCCAATTTCTTTCCCCAAATAAACTGCTACTGCTAGTCTGCTGCAAAGCTTGTGCTAAGTGTTCGATCAAATGCTGAACTCAAGCAACAAAGCATGGAGAATCATCCCAAGACCTTTACTCGAAACTGTTCTCAACAACCATGTCCAACATCACCGTGTTCATCAACCTCTCATCCTCCACGGCCCTCGCGGCGTCGGCAAAACCACCGTCATCCTCGAACGTAACTCCCCTTTTCCCCTTTCTCTCCCTACTTTCTCTCTCTAATCTCATCTTCAATCTTCATTTGCAGGTTTAATGGAGAATTGGAACAAAGGACCCCATCTTACAGGATACATTGATTTTGCGCAACCCATTAAGGAGTACCACCCATCTCACAATGCTTCATTTCCATGGTGTTCTTGGAATTCCTGCTCTGTAACTCTTCCTTCTCTCTCTTTATTGAGTACCCATTTGGAGAAATGTCTAGAATCAATGGCTGAAAGGGGGATTGAGTTGGGACAAATTAATTCGCATCAAATTTTTACTACCCTTAATAAGTGGCATGGGATTAGTCATACCCTCAGGCACATTTTGAAATCGTCTTCGAATTCGAGCTCGAAAATTGGGGCGATTTCGAGTAAGGTTTCGGCTTCTGTGTTGTGGGATAAGGCTGTTTTTGCTTATTCTGGTAAGTTGAATAGTAAGGAGATTGAGGGGGTTGTTGGGTTGGAGGGAGGTAAAAAGGGGTTGACTGTTGAGGAGAGGTCTTACTTGAAAGAGGCTGTGGTTGCTTTGAGATTGGCAAAGGAGGTTATAAGGGTTCAGCAGCAGTGGAGGGCTAAAGCTGTTGGTGATTTGAATAGGACTGGTGGGTTTTCGAGATCACTGGCGATGTCGGCTACTGATTGGCCGTATTTGTTGCTAGAATTGTTGTCTTCAGCTTCTGAAATGGATCATTTTCAGGTATACTTTTGTATATCTTATCATTGACTGTAATTTGTTTATGTCATTGACTACGTTGTAGGGGTGCACGCGATTCACATGAATTTTACTTATTGGAACTTAACTGAACTTGTATGAATAACTTGAACTCGGGTAGCCCATATATTTCCTGAACTTATCTTTTCAGAACTTGAACACTATACATGAACTTATTTGAACATTTTATTGATAAAATAAGTGTAATTAAGGTGAACATTTGCTGTATTTATGAGCATTCATGTGTTACAATGTTTTGTTTCATATTGAGAGCTTACAATGGTTATGTGGCTGTTTTTAATTATGAGGCTTAATGCCAAATCACACTATTGTTATGTTATAATTATGGCCCTGGCAATTTTGTAATGGCTTAAGAATTGTCTCATATGTTGGAATGTTTTGTTTCATGCCACAAGCTTAAGGTTTTTAGGCTATTGGCTGTGCAGCTTTTGTAATTATCTATCCATGAGTTTGATTCTCTAACTATTGGCAATAACTGGAATATTTTCACAACAGCCAAAGCTCGTGATTAATAATATAGAACTCCTGAAGAATGCTATTTCGACAAATGATTCTACAGTTTCTGCACCAACTTACCATGATAGTTTAATATGGAGAATTATATCTTTGGGGGCAAATGAGATGTGTCTTCCCATCATTTTTGTAACATCCGATAGGTAAGTGGTGTCTTCTTATCACTTATTTTTTAGTAAGGTGAATGTTTATTAGAAAGTGAATGTTGATGGTAGTTTTGTGATGGGTAAAGTGACATTTGTGTTACGTCTGGTGTCTATCATCATTAATATCTCAGACCACCTCAGTCATTATTAAATCAATCTCAATTTTCTAGTTATCTATTCCATTTTTGTAAGTTGTTGATTCTAGCTGTAATTTCCCCCTCCTTGGATAGCTAAGATCTGTTCCATCTTCTCAAAAAAGGTCCCATGTACAGCTATCAGCCTTTGTACTCTCAGGATCACACAATATAGCTGATCCACTGGATATATATATAAGAAGTCAATGGCTTGAGGCTATGTATGATTCTTAGCAGGCAGAGAGCTCCCCACTCTACCTTCTTATGATATTCGACAGACATCTTCCTGAAACAATTGGATAATTTTTGCCTTTGCCTTGTAATTTCTATAGTTAAATCTCATAAAAAGTCACTTGTTTAGCCAAGTAATGATGCTTCTGGCACCTATATAATTTAGACAAGATTGAATAGAACAGGGCCGTAGTATACGGCTTAAACATGTTTTCTACCCTTTATCTCTTGAGTTTGCAAAATAGGGATTAAGCAGTTCTATCTCTTGCAATATTGTGCCTTCTAGTTGCTTATGGCCTGCTGTATGTTTTACAATCTAATAGTCGTGGTACCTTTCAGCTACTATTCGTATCATGCGTACATCGATTTTGGTTTTCCAGACATTTTTATATCCCGTGAGGTAAGAACTGGATCTTGTTACTTTCTCCTTCATGTACTTTTCATATTCTTAGGTCTGATGATTTTTCTATTGCTAATGTATGCAATGTTATAATAATTATTATTATACGTTTCCTGATTGCACAGGCCATGATTTAATATTGTAACTGAAGCTGTAAGAGGCTATTGAAATTCAAATTTTAAGGAATGTCTTGTATCACTATGCACCTTTTAAGTGGATAGAAAATCTTGATTGAATTTTTAATGGTCATCTTGTGCCACTCCTGTCCTCCAAACACTGAATGAAATAGAAAGAGCCTAAAGGAAATGTATCTGATAAGTCCAGGACTGGAGTTCAGTTACTCTAGTACTCTAGAAATTATGTGTCATTTATATTTCAATTTGAAATATATGTCTCTCTTCACAACGACACCCATTTTATAAATAAGCCTTCGGCAATGAATGCATGTAAACCGAAGTAAAATTTATTATTAGGTCAGCCAAAAATTGTTAGGGAGCATCAATAATAAGATATTATGCTGCGTTACTGCAGACAACAGCTCAAAAGGTCTTTTTTAGGGGATGGATGTAGTTTGTTGTCTGACTTGTCCCATAATGTTGTTACATGTAATTTCCAACTCTTTTCATCCTTTGTTGCTTGATTACTTCCTTTATGTATGACTTTTGAGAGTGTTGTAATCATAATCTTCCCCTTCCTATCAATGAGGTTCTGAACATAATTATCCAATAGAGGCTTTACTTATACTCTCTACAAACTTATCAAGTAAGGGTTGGTTTCTGGCAGTAGGTATGGAAAGTTGTTAATACTTGAAGATTGAGTGTCTGCTTCTATGTGTCTAATGGATAATGGGAAAATGTAAGAAAATATGGCTCACAAGGCCTGAGGGACCTACAAAAAAAAAATTCAGTTTCTCTCTCTTTTTGCCTATACCTGGATGTCTGCATATATCTTATATGTTAATAATATTGTGTTTTGAATCGTAGACCTTCGGTTGGACGCCCAATGAAGGCAAATTACATATGTTTCCTGACTACTTCAGTGGCTCAGAGGTGAGCCATTTCACAACTTAAGCTCTCTCTATCACGTGTATGTGTATGCTTTATGCTAGGAAGTAATTTATTATTTTATTTATCTATTATTTTACTTTTTTCAAATTAGTCTTTGAAAGGGACGTCAAGATTGCCATATTGCCATTCAGTCCCCCCTTTTGTTTTAAATGCTGATTATGCTAAATCATGGTGTACTTTCCAGTGGACAATAGTTACTGAAGTGCTTGGTGCAAATTCACGTCATTTATTCGAACTTCACGCACTCAAAGAAAGCAACCAATATCTCAAGTATGGTTTAATGATTTTTTTTTGCTGATCTATTCTCTATAATGTCCTATGATCATCATTTGAGGCTATTTTCAATTTGATGTTTACTTACGAAATTTAACCTATTTATATTAATTCAATTTGCTGAGCATGCCTTCTTTTTTCTGCAGCATGATAGATCATACACGCAGCACCTTTGAGGATATAGTGGATGCATATTTGGCATATCTACAGGTAGGCTTGTTAGTTTGTTATGGATTCACTTATTGGAAGTTTTCAAAAGGGTCATGCAAGTGTGACTGGTAGCTTTTGATTGGGGGAGAGCTCTGATGTTTTATGGTAGCACTACACATCACAGGGGTTAGGGTTTATTCCATATGTAAGCATTTTGTATGACAATATGACATATTGACATTAAATTATATGAAGTACAAGTATATCTTATGAAATTTTGTTGCAGGAAATCATAATGACAAATTGTCAATTGCTCCCTCTATCCCACATGATATTTGAGATATCCCATCTAATATTTCTATTAAAGAAGCCGCACAGAAAATTATGGTTCTTAGTGATTGCGTTTCTTGTTGAGGAATCGTATTTTCTTCTAATCTGTAGTGTTTTGTGCTTCAGAATTGTCCTTATGTTATGTTATTTATTAGGATTCTTTTACTGTTTATCTGTAGATTACTGTGGTGAATCCAGCCATGGACAAAGCTTTGTCACTTCTGCAAAAATTTGCTCTTGATGCACTCAATGGAAAGATACCAAAAGATAAATTACGTTTTGGTGCTCCTTGGAGGCATCCTCCGCGCACAGATGATCCAAGTCTTCGTTTGGAGTGGGCAAAGGTTCAACTTATGGATTTCGTGCAGTCATTGGTTAATACTGAATTTGGGGTAATCCTCTGTCTTCTTGTTATTCATAGTTTCTCTGTTTCATAGCATGATTGATCAATAAAAAATATTGAAATCCTCAGGTTGCTATAGGTGAGAGCTTACTTTGGTGAGCTGATGGTTTTAATTTTGCCTTGTTGATACATTCCAATGTCTATCTTATTCTCCAGGGTTATAGCTTTAGATCATTTACATGCTGGCCTAGATAGGGTATCAATCTTTTCTACTTGGAATGTTTTAATTGACTATGCTCTGCTTTTCATCTGTTCCATCTGCCTGTGCAATTTTGTTGATGCATTAATTAAGGTTTGAATGGAAAGCTTTATTCTGATTTCACAGTTAAGGTGTTCTAGCCAGACTTATTTATGGCCTTTGTGCACCAGCTGGTGTATTGATAGTTGATCAATGATCATACTATCACGTATGCCTTTATGCCATAGAATAAGAATCAGACATAACTTACAATTAAATTACTAAGTTTGGGTATTGCATTAGTAGTTGGCTAGGATTAGCATAAAGAGGAAGAAATTGAGTGAGTTCGTTACATTTTCTTATCTATTTCGGGAGAGAACTAAGCTCTTAAATGCTTGTGTTTTTCTTCTATTTTCTGCTATTCCAGTCTGTCAAAACAAAGCTCATCTATTTCTTTCTCTTATTTCAGTTCAAGCTATGTTAATTGATAGCATAGGTTTCATCTCATTGTAGCTGTTCTTGAACTTCTTTAGGGCATCTGTTGGAAAATTTAAGGTAGTGAATATAGTGAGGTGCTATTTTGCTCTCGTCTAGAACTATTGCGTCATTAACTATCATATATGTAACAGTGTAAGCCTATTTGTTTGTTTAATCTTATTGTAAGGTCTTTAATGAGGATTTCATGTACAGTTTCTTTTGCAATCAGTCCTCTTCTCTTCCAATTCATGCATGATGCAGCTTTTATCTTTTTTATATAATCCTTTATCGAAGTAATCGCTATGCTTTCATTGCTGAAGAAATATATTTGCTGCCCTGGTTCTCATTTAGAGTATAGCCTTACCAAACTTTTTGTTATTTGTTGATGCAGCTTAACTATTTTGCTGATTGCAGCCTTGAAATATTTGATGATCCTTCAGCTGTAGCATTGTTAGAGGTATCTTCACTTCTTCAGTTCTATCTTTATTTTAATGACATAAGCTTTCACAAGCCCGTTTTGCAACCTTGAGGATGGAAAAAATGATCTACTTGGACATTGTCGAGGTTTTTTTTTTCTTTTTTTTCTTTTTTTTTTTTTTTCATTTAGATCAAGTGCAAAGATATACCATAGCTTGCAAAACACGATGGACATTGATCCACAATGTTAACATCCACAATGCCATAAGTAGACACTCCCATCTATGGTGGGGGTAAGGAGTCAATATGTTCTTCAGTGTGGCCAACTCTTGAGTCATTTTTTTTGGCTGTATTTTAATCACGTGTGTTCTGATTCCTTATCCTTGCATTATTTCCAAGACTGCATTTAATTAAAGCTCTGCTTCTGTATGATATAACCTTGATTCAGGTGGGTGTGCTTTATGCTCAACGAGATCCATCCTTCATTCGTCCAGTGTCTCGTGGTATGCAAAGATGCCTGGTGAGATGGTGAGTTAATTAATGGTTGATAAATTTTGCCAACACGAAACGATGATTTATTCCTTTCATCCATGACAAGGCTTTACATTATACGAACTTACGAAGTACTCTGCTACTTTTTAAGTGCTACACTATAGTTGGCACAAAGTATTAGGAGCCTTATTTAGGTGGATTAAACTATTATGCAGATGGGATTTGTTCGAGATTTAAATATTGTGAGAAAGTGATAGTGTGTTAATAGTTTATTCAAAAATGGAGGATGTGAGGAGAGAAATAATAAAGAAATTAGGAATGGGGACTATGAGGAGAGAATTAATTAAGAATGTAGTAGTGGGGACTAAGGGAGGAGAGAGATAATTATAAAAGCCGAAAGTGTCCAATTTGGGATGTGTAGCACTTAAAAAAAAGAGGCTGCTATAGTAAAGAGTAGCACTATAAAAAAAAAATAACGGAGGGAGTAGAATTTCATGCAATTTTCTGTAAATATGAATTGGTAAATGTACTGACTTTATGTTTGATCACTGAAGGCTTGTCCAGGAGCAACTACAGATGAACTGGTTTGCCTCCCTGCGTTTTCTGTGGCAAAGATTATTCCGAGGTCGCTACTATCGGCACTTGATGTTACAAGTTGGCTATAAATTCTAAATTACACGAGGTAATTTTAATTATGTCATTATAAGCTTTGTTTCTTTTTTCAGTTCTAAAACCAGATAGGTGGAGTGGAGGAGAAAATTTCTTGCAATTGATAAAGTACTTGCACTATGTTTGGATAGGAATATTTGGATGGGAAAGGAAAGGATATAATTCCTATTGGAGGGATCCGTTTTCTTTCCCATTTTAATAAACCAAATCCCTCCCATCGTTGGAGATTTTCGAAAGAAAAATGGAAGCCCACTCTCTCCCGCCCCTGACCTCCCTTTCTCTTCCCTCTTTTTCCTTCTCTCCCTTTCCCTGTTCAGTAAGTTGCTACTGGTGGTGTAGATATTGGCCGCAATTTGAGTATATACGTAGTATATTTTTTAAAGCTTTGTCAGTTTAACATTGGCTACCTTTGACTCTGAGATCAGCAGTAGTTGTTTGACCATCCTTTAGTTAGAGATTTCCTTTTGTTCACAGATATAGAAATCTGATTGTATCAGGCCTTGCACATCTATAACTTTTTGTCAAATTGTATCATAATTACTTAAAATCTGAAGATTATATTTTGCAGTCTGTTATCCTCTTTGGTTGCTATTGCATAATCTTATTTTGGTTGAATGTCATTGCAAATTCTCGATTGTGAATTTCTGATTGCATTTATTAATACCTCGCCATGATGACTAAGAGGTGTTCGGTCTTCATGTATTACCAGCCAACACGAGGAGCTGTCCTAAGGGTCTGATTATATGTGCATGAACAGCATTGATGTCTTTAGGAAACAAATGTGGGTAATAAAACAACTTAAAAAGTGGATACCTACAATCTTTTATTTTTAAGAATATAAACTTTTAGTTTTCCAAAATCAGGTGTTCTAACTTTGTAACCAATTCTTTCAGGTAAATGACCAGAGAACTTGCTGAATTAGAGGAAGTTTCAGAAAGGATCTGAGATGCTTTACTTAAAACTCTTTCTTTGAAGCTATAGTGCAGTACATAAAAGGTAATTTATCTAGGAGTTTATCATTGTATGTAGGGGTGAACAAAAATCTCAGATGCATAAACATACCTGGTTTCAGATCCTGAATCACTTGGGATCCGACAAGTCCAGACTCTCCGGCTTTGGCAGAACCTGTTTTAAATCCCAAAATCTGTTATCTGTTGCTAATCTAGTCCAGATTCTCCAATTTTTGACCCAGAACCCGCTTGATAAAATCAGTAATGGAAACCATTACCAGAACTAGCTTCTCAAGCATTTACACAATTACACCCAAGCCCAAGAATAAAGTTTGTTTACTGCCTAGTTACTTCATAGTATATATACTGTTCTGAAAAATGTGGCTAATGCATACTGTACATTCTTTTATTGCTTTGTTGCCTGAAACAAATGGTATTACATAAAATGCCAAGTGAAAGGTCAAAATTCTTGAAGTTTGAATTCATTTATTGTATGAGAAGATTGAAATAACAGGAATTATATTTTCAAGCAGAGGGGTTACCATGTGTCCATGTGAACACATCAATGCCAAGTGAAAGGTCAAAATTCTTGAAGTTTGAATTCATTTATTGTATGGGAAGATTGAAATAACAGGAATTATATTTTCAAGCAGAGGGGTTACCATGTGTCCATGTGAACACAGCAATGTGCTACACGACTCTTCGTTGGTTGATAACTTGATGTCGAAAATTTATTAACAGACTTACAGACCCTGTATTTCCCTCTGCACACATTGCGTCTCCACTGTTACAGTTAAAACTGTTAGTTCTAAAATAAACACAATTATATAAAATAAACACAATTCACCAAGCTCTATAAATTGATTGAATAATTGATTAGTCTTATGATCACCTTCCAAACTTCTTAGTTCTTACAGAACACCCTACCAAACTAAAGAGATGACTCGTGAGTGGTGATATGTTATATTTATCGTGCTTAGATGGAACAACACGTGTTATGTTACATGTATCTTATTAGGAACACCTATCAATACCTTCACCGTGCTTAAGTGGAATGACATGTGACATGACACATATGTCTTATTATGAACACTATTTAACACTTAGTACGATCTAATTTGTTCTTCCATTTCGGTGTTAGGGACTTAATAAAAAAATTATATCTTAATAAGAGTGAAAAATAATTTTTTAAAAAAAGGCAAAAAATGGGACAAGATCATTAATATGGCGATTGAAAAGATAGAATTCTGATTTCATATTGAAATCATGTACGGAGTATTAAGAATTTCGTTTAGGGGAAATTGTTTTTACGGATTACAGAAAAATAATTTTTTTTTTTTAGCATGTTTACCAGTTAATGAGATAAATACAGGAAAAGTTGATAATAATTTTTTAAACATGTCTAGAAAAATATAAAATAACCCGTCAAAAAGTAAAAATATCAAAGAAGAACTTCCTTCCTAATACAAAGACAGGCCAAACACAAATGATTGGAGGAAGTAAATTATTATAGACATAACTTCTAGCATGACGATCATGTGAACAAAACAAAATCTCACATATAACTTCATTTGGAGTATTATTTTCGTTAATTGATGTTGAATACTAAGGCCTGTTTGATTCACCTTAAAAAAATAATATTAAGTAAAAATATTTTCAGTTCAGTAAAATTAATTTCAGTTCAGTAAAAATAATTTCAGTTCAGTAAAAATAAGTTCAGTTTAGTTAAATTCAGTTTTCTTAAAGAAGAATTATAATAGAAAAAAAGTAAAAATAATTTAAGTTCAGTAAAAATAATTTAAGTTCACTAAAAATAATTTCAGTTCAGTAAAATTAAGTTCAGTTTAGTAAAAATAAGTTCAGTTCAGTAAAAATAAGTTCAGTTCAGTAAAAATAATTTCAGTTCAGCAAAATTAAGGTGAATCAAACAGGGCCTAAGAGTACGTATTTTGTATCAAAACACGATTTTCCTTTCAGCTATTGTTTTTTCGCTTTCGTATTTAAATTACCAACTCTAATAGAAATCCAATAAGAACAATATCTAGCTATAAATTGCATGAATTGTTTAAGCAATCATCCCATCACAATTCTCACAAGACACCCTACCTAATTAAGTCCAACCATGCCTAATATATAGATTTTGGCATTTTGCACAAGAATAAATTACAAAATAAAGGTTGTATTTCCTCCGTTTTTTTTATAAAAAATGCACCACTTTACTTTTACACTATTTATATATACTAGTTGACTTAGTTTTTTCACCTCTATAAAATAAATAAATGTTATTATATAAATATATCATTAGATTAGTTATAATGTCGTAGTTTCGTAATGTAATTTTGTTACAATTTTTTAGTAATAGCCAATTAAAGATATTAATGGTTTAAGTTAGGGGTGAGCAAAAATTCAGGGTACCCAGATATGGAACCGGAACCTGTTCGGAACCGCAGGTTCCAAACCCGGAACCTATTTATCAGGTTCCGGTTCCGGGTAATAAAATTAGGAAACAGGTTCCGGTTCCGGGTAATAAAATTTTGGATCTAGAACCTGTAGGGTACCCTGTTAGTACAGGTTCCCTATAGGGTACATGAAACCGGAACCTATATGGTATTAAAAGTTCTAGACAATTAGTGTTGGTTTGTTATATTTGAAGTACTATACTAAAGTCGTAAGCTTTTATTGTGATCATCTATTTTAAAAAAAATAAATTTGTCACAATTTATCAAGTAACTATTAAACTTACTTTGACAGACAAGGTACTCTGTTTAGGAACCGGAACCTGCAGGTTCCGGTTCCGGTTCTCAATTCTTAGAAACCTGTTGCAACAGGTTCTGGTTCCTATTTTTAGGAACCTGTTGCAACAGGTTCCGGTTCCGGGTCCTGATATTTTTACAGGGTACCTTGCTACGCTCACCCCTAGTTTAAGTTGTGTTTCAACAAATATGTCAGTTAAAGTGATGCATTTAAAAAAAGAACGAAGTTTAAGTAAAATAGATTAAAAGTATGAGAGTTTACTTATGCACAAATATATAATTTATACGGTAAAATATAAATTTAAAATGTGAGAGTCAAAATAAGTCAAATAAAACACGACAAACCGAAGGGATTCGTCACCGCCTTGCCGGTATGGTATATATACAGAAGCCCAACTTACAAAAGCAAAAGCTGGGCGCTTAAAACCATAAAAATTGGCGGGAAAATCTTCAATCTCTTGTAACCTCTGAAACTACAGCTGCAGCCATGAACGGCGGGAATTCCAGGAAACGCAAAGCGCCGCCGCAACAACCGTCACCGGAGCCGCCAAAGCACCTTGCTACGACGGAAGAAGACGACTTCGATGAAGATTTTTACTTACAAGACGACCTCATGGACGAAGACTCCCAAATTCTTCGCGACATTGATGAGCGTTCTGCTAAGCTGGCTCGTCTTTCTAAGTGGGCTCGACCTGAGCTTTCTCAATCATACAAATCACAGTCTCAGAGTATTGGTAAATTTATAATTTGATGGAATTTTAGGGTTTAGAGGAGGGTTTTTGTGATTTGGGGGTGGAATTGATTTTTAGGGTTTGTTGTTTTGTAGTTTTTCAGCAATTGGAGATTGATTATGTGATTGGAGAATGTCATAAGGAGTTTTTGTCTAATCGGAGTGGTTCTGCTGCGATTATTCGGATTTTTGGGGTTACTCGTGAAGGTTAAGCTTTACTCTCTCACTCTTTTTTGGTTTACCTTTTTGTTTTTCTGATTGCAAATATGTTGTTTCTCTATTTTGGTTTCTGAAAAGACTTAAAAGAGTAAAATTTTGTTAAAAGAGAAATCTTTTTGCTTGAACATGCATTTCTTTGGTTTGCTTGATTTTGGTGTACAATGGTAAAAATGTAAAATGATACATCTTCTTAGAAGATACAAATGGAAGTGCTAAATATTTTGGCAATTTGTTTCCTAATTACATACTCCGAACTTAGTTTTAGTGTCCGGGTAGGGTACAGTCTTTTGTGTTGGAGTGTTGGACTCACCCTTTCCAAAGTTTGAATCTTAATGGTCAGTTGTCATGCTAGATTGCTAGCATTCAGTGGCTTTGCGATTGCCCTCCAAACAATCGAAATGAGGGTGCTTTAGGAGAAATGGAGAATCCATGTGAAGTGTCTGCAAGGAGAAGATGAAATAAAATTTGAAGTTAAGATCTAAATTTCAACCATATAAAAAAATGAATGTTTGAGTTGCTGGGTTGTGTTCGTTTTTAGTTTTCTGTTGATTTTTGTATGGTCATACTTTGGATCCCAAGGGCTAGTAAAGATATCCTCCTTTTTCTTTGAAGTGTCTAGCACGCTATGGAAGTTATACTAGACTTTAACTTGATGAAGAAAACAAAATATGATGTGCCTACAACATGCTCTATTTCAGTGTATGAAGTCTCCCTAGTGGTTTTCTACTTATCTGTAAGCATGCTGATTCTTGTTGTATTTCAACTTGAATTGGTTGAGAAAATTACTTGCTCTATGAGCTATGTGTTAGGAAACTTTCCATCCCAGTAAATGCTAAGTTTTGGGTCACTTCTTACTAAAACATGGCCGTTCACATTGCTTCCAAGTGAAATACCCTGCACAAGTCATGCGCTCATTGCTGTCACACATATCATTTGGATATTACTCGAAATGGGAAGTGTTGCAGAATAACAAGTTTAGAAAATAATGGAGATGTCTTTTAGAAAAACAAGTTTAGAATATAATGGAGCTGTCAATGTTTTTGATGGAACCTGATTAATTTGTCAGTTTTTATCATGTGATTTATAGATCCAGATTATATCCTCCCCCCCCCCCCCCCCCCCCCCCCCCCCCCCACCCCTCCTCTTTTATGGTCTGAGGGACTTATCATTATGTTTGCACTCTTGGTGCATGATATCAGGCAGTTGAATTATTTATGTGAGTCTAATTTAAGTTTTTTTTTTTAGGGCACAGCGTTTGCTGCAATGTTCATGGATTTGAACCCTACTTTTACATAAGTTGCCCTTCAGGGATGGGTCCAGACGATATATCCCATTTTCATCAAATCCTGGAGGTATTAAGTTTTGCCTTCATTAGTGGCTTTTCATTTTAACACTGCTGAAAGTTTATGCCCCCAGGAGTCATGTGGGCTGGTATATGAAACCATCGACTCTATACAGCCATGGTTAAATTGACACGTCTATTTTTCTGTGTTTTAGGCGCGAATGAGGGAGGCAAATAGGAACACTAAGGTTCCCCAATTTGTTCGACGTATTCAGTTAGTGCAGAAAAGGAGCATAATGTACTATCAACAGCAAAGCTCTCATCCTTTTCTGAAAATTGTGGTTGCATTGCCTTCTATGGTTGCTACTTGTCGTGGTAATTTTTTCAGCTGTCCTCTCTCATCCTCTCACCCTCTTCTAAGAAAAAGATGGGAATGATTTCTTTTGGGGCGGTCTGACTGTCTATTTTGTAGGTGTTTGACTTATTGCTGGAGTGATGGGTCAAATACTTTTTTGCTTGTTTCCTTCTACAACTTTATTTAATTACGG